GTGGGGAGGGGGGGGGTATTTGCCTCAGCGAGGTCCGTCGATATGTTTGGTTAAATCGCATATCCATCAAGTATGCAAATGTATTTGCCACGACCGTAAAACCGCAACTTAACCCACCCTCTCCTTCCGCCGACCTGGCGCTCCTCTGCAGTCAGTACATCTCGACATACTCGCATCCACAATAATCTTGTCCCGAAGAGTGTTCAGGTCTCATTTGATAGAGCCCTTAGCTTAACTTCTAATTTCACCCTCGTTCAACCTTGCCATTTCTGGAGTTGGATCATGATTAAAGTAAAAAAACTTGGAACTGCTCTACCAACTCTACATTGCATTCATAGCTCATAGATTTGGGCAACTTTCACTGCCTGTATAAACCTTTCTGCCGCGTACTTTTTCCCATATATATCACCCATTGCCCCATGCCTCATTTTTAGGTTGTAATAAACTGCCTCATACCCCGTGGCTTGAAGTATCATAAGGCACGCCCCAACTTTCACCAATGGCGCGACAACAAACAGCAGGTCTACGGACTCAATTTTGCTGTAGTAGAGGAGGCCGAGGCGTTTGCCGCTGCCATAGAGGCTGCTCTAGAATCCCTTGCCCAGCTCCATCGCCAACAGCAACAACAGCATCAGCACCAGCAACAGTACCAACAACCGCAGCAGCAGCAGCCAAACGTACAGCCCCAACAACAACCGCCACCGCAGATGAATACTGTTCATTCTGCACCTGTGCTGCAACAGCAGCAACAACAACAACAACAGCCGGCACACATAAACTCTGATCGGGGTCAGCATGACCCTCGGGCGCAAGCCCCACAACAGCAACAGAGGCCAGTGGCGCAGCAATCCTTGACCGGTTATAATCAGACTGCTCAGCCTGTTTACTCCACTCAGACTTCCCTGCCACAATACGAACCCCCTAGTTACTCAGAACCCACTCAATCAAAGAAGGTAAGTAGAAAAGCAGAGGGTGATGTTCTAAGTGTCCATAACGACGCATTTGGTTAGCCTACCACTAGTCGGTATTTAGGCATTGCTTTGCCTACCCTACAAAACTTGCCTTTGTAGCTTCCTTTTTTCTGCTTTACGATAGTGCCACATATGTGACAACAACAGTTGTCTCTCTCAAGGACAACTAATAGCTAGGTTTAACTCAGAAGACTTCTCCTTTGAAAGCCTTGCCGTTTCTCTGGAATCCCCAAAACTCAATTGTTTTGCTAGGGGGGAATCAGCACTGTCATCTTGCTGACACTTGTCTTGTAAACCCTTGGGTGTAGGCTTTAATGTTCCCACTGCTGCACTTACTATGCATTTTGATTAAGAGCAGTAACCAAGAAAGTACGTAACGGGTATGCAGCGATAGTTCACCTTTCATGGTTGGCAATGCCTATCCTTGCCAGCTAGTTTTTTGCCCGAATAATTCTTGAAGACGTTTTATGACAGGTGTGTGGGGAGGTATCTGATGGTTTGGCTGTTGATGTTGCTCTTGAGCAGCAAAAAATCACCGTGTATGTATAGTTCACCTGGTTGAACAGCCAGGCGGTGGATGGAAGTGATAAGAGCAGCGTTCCTGAACGCGTTTATCGAGACCAGCGCATTATACACGCCTAGCGCCTGTATTGTGCCTATGATAAATAATAAGTTGTAA